GTCCCAGGGCACACGTGGCTCCCGTTGCACGCTCAGCTCCCGTTGCACACTCAGGTCCCCGTCCCAGGGCACACGTGGCTCCCGTTGCACACTCAGCTCCCGTTGCACACTCAGGTCCACACCCCATTGCACACGGGGGTCCCACTGCACGCTCAGCTGCCGCTGCCCCTCCTGTTGCACGCTCATTCTCCTTTGCACGCTCACGGCCGGGTCCCGCCCCACGGGGGGCTCCCACTGCACGCTCAGCTTCCTTTGCACACCCACGCCCGGCTGCACACCCAGCCCCTGCTGCAGATCCAGCTCCCGTTGCACACTCAGCTCCTGTTGCACACCCAGCTCCCGTTGCACACTCAGCCCCCGCTGCAGATCCAGCTCCCGTTGCACACTCAGCTCCCGTTGCACACTCAGCTCCCGTTGCACACTCAGGTCTTGCCCCACGATCACCCCCACGTCCTGTTGCACGCCCACGTCCGTGTCCTGCTGCACGCTCAGCTCCCGTTGCACGCTCAGGTCCCTTCCCACGATCGCATCCACGTCGTGTTGCACACTCAGGTCCATGTCCTGTTGCACACTCAGGTCTTGTCCCACGATCATATCCAGGTCCTGCTGCACACTCAGCCCCCGCTGCAGGTTCAGTTCCTGTTGCACACTCAGCTCCCGTTGCACACTCAGCTCCACGTCCCGTGGCAGGCTCAGTTCCCGTTGCACACTCAGTCCCTGTTGCACTCTCAGGTCCATGTCCTGTTGCACACTCAGCTCCCGTTGCACACTCAGTTCCCGTTGCACACTCAGGTCCACATCCCGTGGCAGGCTCAGCTCCCGTTGCACACTCAGTCCCTGTTGCACTCTCAGGTCCATGTCCTGTTGCACACTCAGTTCCCGTTGCACTCTCAGGTCCATGTCCCGTGGCAGGCTCAGCTCCCGTTGCACACTCAGTCCCTGTTGCACACTCAGGTCCATGTCCCGTTGCACACTCAGTCCCTGTTGCACTCTCAGGTCCACGTCCCGTGGCAGGCTCAGCTCCCGTTGCACACTCAGTTCCCGTTGCACACTCAGTTCCCTTTGCACACTCAGGTCCACGTCCCGGGGCAGGCTCAGCTCCCGTTGCACACTCAGCTCCCGTTGCACACTCAGTTCCCGTTGCACACTCAGGTCCATGTCCCGTTGCACACTCAGTTCCCGTTGCACACTCAGGTCCACGTCCCGGGGCAGGCTCAGCTCCCGTTGCACACTCAGCGCTCGCTGCAGGCTCAGTTCCCGTTGCACACTCAGCCCCCGTTGCACACCCATCAGGTCCATGTCCCGTGGCACGCTCAGCTCCCGTGGCACGCTCAGCTCCGGTCCCGCGGTCGTGTCCAGGTCCCACGGCGCCGCCACCTTCCCCCTCT